ATTCTCAGGGCAAGTACCGTATTTTCCGGACTATACGTCACTCCGGAATATAAGTCGCATCAGTCAAAAAATGTCTCACGAAGAGGAAAAAAACACATATATAAGTTGCTTCAGAGTATAAGTCGCATTTATTATGCGTCGCCGCTGACCCCTTGCGCCCGGAAAATGTGGGCCGATGTCGTGCCAAAAATTGATTGGCAGCCACGGGAGTGCGCATGGGAGGACTTGCTGTTGCAGTTCTTCGAAATTTAACAAGATTAAAACCTAAAAACAATTATTTGTTTACACCGGTCGGCAGCCATGCCAGGGACGAGGGGGCTCTGCCCCCTCCGCCGCCGGAGTGGGAAGGGTGTAGTTAGGCACGTTGTCCGCAGCCCAGGGAAGAAGCAAGGTGCAGGTGGGGGGATGCTGTAGAGTTCGCGACCGGAGCCGCAAGCCACCTTCGTCTCCAGACCCTTCCAGGCCGACCCAGAGCCAGTCGCAGCGCACCGCCATGGAGGAAACGTGCCCAGCGGGAGTCAACCAGACTCAGGAGGAAGGTCCCCTGTGATGGGGGGGATCCTCAATATATAGTTGTCAAAACCTAGAGGGCCCTCTTGCGGCTGCAAATGCTAATGTTCACTCTTTGATATACGTCAGTATGAATGAACATTTAACATTCAGTCAAAAATTGCAACTTGAATAGGGAACAAAACGTAAATAAGTCGCTTCGGAATATACGTCGCAGGACTGGCCAACCTATGAACAAAGAGCGACTTAAATGGTGTGAAAAATATGGTACCTGGCTATGGTTTAAGGTACCCTTTGTGCGCACAGAGTCAGAAAAGATGAGTTTGTCCTATTTGGGCCCATGTGTTGGGGATGATCTGCAGCTTAAGTTGAGGTTGGAATCTTTTATTCCTTTCTCTAGTTTTAAACAAAAATTGTCAGAGGTTTTAGTCCCATCTTGCATGTGTAATATTTATGTGTCTTAAATTGTGATTTTTTTTTTTTTTAACTTGCATTGTATTTCATGTCTTATTACCGGATGTTTCGTTGTAAATATTTCAATATTATTGTTAATGTTATTAAGACTGTTACTGTATTTGTAATGGCTTCTTTGCACCTTGCACCTTGCCCCAGGACGTCCTTGTAAAAGAGATTATTAATCTCAATGGATTTTGTTCCTGGTGAAATAAAGGTATAAATTAAATAAAAATTTAAGTAGAAATGAAAAAAGAACATAAGACTACTAGAACCAGAAACCTGAACATTTATGTTCTAAAGAATACAACCTGCTTATTGTAGCAAAGATATCCTGAAACGTTACTTGATGTTTAAAATTATCAAAAGCTACAGAGAAAATTGATCCGTTTTCATCCGGTCTTTCCTTCTATGCTTTAGTTTTCCAAAAACGCATCTCCGTCTTGATGTGATGATGTTTGCATCTGCAAGTTTCTTCAGCTGATTCTTTAAAAACATCAATCAATCATCACTTCCGCAAACAGAACAGTTTACTTAGAACTCCATTGATGACGGTCTTAAACAGAGCCAAACTTTTCTAATTCACTCTTTACATCAGTTTAGGTCTAATCAGATCATGTCTTCCACTGGACGAGAGCATTAACTGAAGTTTAATAGATGAAAGAGTGTGTCAACATTCGAGGCTGAGGAGCCGTTCACACTGGGTTGGATTTACTTTTATTTTTTTTAGAATGGGTTCCAGAGAAAACGTCTCAAAATGCCACCGATGTGTTTGTATAAACCATGATGTCATAGCCCACCTCCAGTCTAACTTACACCCTGAGGCCTTCCTCTTCTTCATGTTTTGATTTGGCACCCAATGTGTAAGCTTTACGCTCCACGTCTTGTTTCCTGTTTTGGTGGTGACATTACAGCTCCCCACACAAGCCTGGCATAATTATAGCGTTTTGGGTCATTTTCATGTGGATGAAAACTTTTCTAGAAATGGTGGCATATTTACAAGAATATGTTGAAAAAAAATGGGTGGGGTTGGGGGACTGCCTTTCTCTATAAACAAGGTCTATACCACTGCAAAGGGCTGATCCTATATCTAAATGTCTTTTTGACCAGTTTTGATCTTTAGAACAGTTTAATTAATTGCGTATTTGTGAGTGATTTCAGTTCTGAGAGCTGCAGGTTTCTTTGACCTGTAAGAATCCAGAGTTCTGGAAATATTCAGCCTCTCTCGTCTTTGTGTCTTCATGTGGACTGGGTTTAGAGATAAGTAAAAGCACAGCTTTACCCCCTGTGAACGAGGAGAAACTTGCCTCTTTTTAATCCCCGTTTGTGTCGTCTTCCTTCTCGCTGTGTTTTCTGTCCTGGCTTTGCTTATTTGAATTTTAATGAGCTTTTCACCTTTTTAAGCAGATGGCTTAGGCCGGATTTCTCCACAAGAACCAGGGTGAGACTCTCTGTCACAGTTTGTTTCAAACAGCCGAGTCCTTGAGGGGGTTTAGAGCTCCGTGGTGCTCGTCCCACTCCTCCCTTTCCACCGTCCTTCTCATCTCTTAAGGTGATAGCTCCCTAAGATGGTGACCAGTTGGTGAACTGCGTTCATTTTTAGAGTTCTTAATTTCCTTTCTTGAGCTGCAGAGGTGCGCATTGTTGATGCACTTTAATTAGTTTTTCAACAGATTTTCTCTTGAAACAGTCACAGAGTCTTTGTGGGCGTTCTGAGCTCATCTTAATTTGTCATGAATGTCTCGAAACCGTCTTTAGTCCCAAAAAAATAGAAAAATAACAAATAAAAATAAACACCTGAACATCTATTTCAGGGGTCTGCAATCGTTACGATCAAAAGATTTCTGCCCCTTTGTTCACTACATTAAACGTGTCCAGAGCTGCAATACCTTCTGCAATTGTCATTATCAACTGGTGGCCCATGGGCCACTTTAAGTTTGTTGGAGGGGGCTTTTCTGGCCAGTAGGGGTGACATTATAAAACTAAAAATATCTAATGATTTTTAACGTTTATTGATATTTTTACATTTTAAAACAAAATAAAAGACAAGATTCTTGTACAGAACAAAAAATAATGTAGTTTTTGCCCAATTTCTAAAAACTAAAACGATAAACTGCAGGCCTGTGTGATTTTTTTTTATTGTAGAAAAATTAAGTATCCAATGTTGAAGAAATAAAGCGCAAAGTGAAAGTAAGTACAAAGTATATTTTACTCCTGGTAATGTTTCTAGTACTCTCTCGATACTTTGCGGTTCGACTTTCGCGGACATGCTCGTTCAGGGTTTTTCATAGTAAGATTGGACATGACACACAACTGTCTGAATGATGGATGAGCCGCACGATTGGCATGAATTGTTTTATGTAAAACAAATTATTTTAAAATTATTTAGCACCTGCTGCACCTTTGTGCAGCCCACAGGTGCAGGGAGAAGCTCCTTCCTGCAGCGTGTCGTGATCTCAACTCTCTGCCACCTGCCAGTGATTGCATTGGAGAAGTGGGCGTGGCCGAGAGGGACAAGTGGCGGAGAGCTGAGATCATGACATTCTGTGCTCTTTTAGAGAGTTTATAGTTTAGAAACTGTTTAGAATATGTCAAGAGTGTGAGAAGGGTTTAAACTGCATTAATATACAAATACTAAAATAAACTACTACTACTTGTACTATTATTCTTACTTTGCAGTTTTTCACTTATGGCGGAGTGGCTGGGAACGGAACCCCCGTGATAAACAAGGGACTACTTTATTCACATATTACCAAAATAAATTACAGGAAAACTGCTAAAGTTAGCTCTTTTAGTTGTAACGACCAATAAAATTTTGTTTTATTTCAGTTTTGGTCAAAGCTTGAAAGAGCCGCTGCAGAGGGGCCAAGGAGCCGCATGTGGCTCCAGAGCCGTAGCTTGCAGACCCCTGGTCACTTCTGAAGTCCAGTTGTTTTGTAATCTTTTCAGAACAGAAGTCCTTTTGTTTTGTATTTTTTTTTTACTTTTTTTTTTTACTTTTTTTTGGATTGATCAAGACCTGGACGACTGAGAGTCTTCACCAACAATCTATAGATACACTTGCACCTGCTTGGCCTAGAATGTAGTTCTGTAAGTAGTGCACATAAATATTAGCCATGACTTAATTAAAAAATAATAATAAAAATAGAACTCCATGCAAAACAAGGCCACACTGCTCACCGTTTGTTTGAAAACACAAAAATCAGTGACTGCAGCAGAAAATGTGTGTATTTTCTCATCATTTTGAGTTAGCAGCTGATCTCCAACAGCCACAGCCGAGTGTGACGTGTTGCTCCACTGAAGCATTAACGTGTGAGTTAATGTGGTCAGACCTCGTTGTCTTCAACATGTCATCAAATCTGTCAATCAAACCACGTCACGTGTTCAGCTGAGGGTCAATATTCATTCAACCTTTATTTAAACGGGTTAATCCTACTGAGCCTCGAGAACTCATTGACAAGAGAGACCTGATATGTGTTTAAAGTGTCCAGACACAGGCGTCACGTCTGAACTCATGTTCCAGAGCTCTGCAGGTCTTCTTCATTTGAACCTTTTTCTGCTCCATCAAGTTCGTTTTAACGTTTTTATTATAAAAACTATTAAACAACAGTGATGACTTGTCTTGTTCTCAGAAACTTATTTGGAAGCTGGGTTCAAAGCTGCGTCTTTTTTAATGCCACAGAATGAAATCAGAGCTGACATGAGCGGTACGACCTCAGGACCTGAGCGATCAGAGCAAATTAAAGTTTTCTTTCGTTTATTTTTTTTTTTTAAGGACTGAATCGTAAAAAATAGAAACTATCTATGAATTAATATTTCTGCTCGCATGCGTAATTATCTAAAAATGTTGCACAAAAACTCAAATATGATTCAAATAAAAGCTTCAAAAACAGCAATAGCTAGCAGAAGTTATCAGAGCATCACTCTGCACATGTTTAATATTAATATTTTCTCATTCATTTTAATATTTTCTCATTATTTTTTTTTATTTTTAGGTAAACTTTCCAAGAGCGAGGCAGTGTGTTGGTCTGGCCTACCTGCTGGTGTGTTTTCCTGCTTGGGGCAAATTCCTTTGGCGAGCGTCTTCTCCCCCCTCTCACCTCCTTCACCTCTTCTTCCCACCACCTCCTCCTCCTCTGGTGTCACCTGGATGCCGATCTCCACCGGCTCCACCACTTTCCTGAGCTCCCCCCGCTGGGCGTAGTGATGAAGGCTCTGCAGACCCCCTCCTCCTCCTCCTCTTCGCTCGTGCACCTTGTCGTAGCAGCCGTTGGGCAGCAGCGGCGTTTGACACTGCTTCTTCTTGTGCTCGATGAAGAGGAGGATGTCGCCCAGCGGGAAGGTCATCTGGCACTGGCCGCAGGTCAGCAGGTCGTGGTCGGTGTGAAGGCCGGGGGGCAGCGTGTGGGCCAAGCTGGGGTCCAGAGGGTGGGGGTGCAGGCCCAGGGTGTGGAGGGACGGCGTGTCAGAAAGCAGAGCGCCATCTGGGTGCTCGGCTTCCGCTGAAGACAAGACGAGCAGAAGACAGGAGTTAGTTTCAGAAGTTTCCACAAGATTTTGAACCTGAACGGTTTGTCTTCAGGTAAATACTCAGAACCCCCTGATTCACCTCACAGGAACGTCTCATTAGTAGAAGCTGCATCAGTTTGTCCAACTTACAGAACAGCAGGTCAGACTTCTTCAAACACAGAAGCTAAAATGCAGAAAGTTATCTGCAACAGGTTTACTCCTCACAACTCAGGTGTGTTGTGTTCGTCGGCAGCGTGGTGGATTTTTACACTTCTATCAACACTTTGATGAATCTGCTTTGGTATTTTTAGACTTTATAATTCAGGTTTTGTCTCGTGTTGAGTCGATTTCATGGAAACGTGATCTCATATTTGCCTGCAGAGGCTCGATCAGGTGTTTACGTGTCACTCTGGGTTGATTTTGTTTAATTATCATCTGATGAAAAGATGGAAAAAAATGACCGAAACACAACAAAATGAATCATGACATTTCTGCAGGTTACAGTCTCTGCTCTGATTGGATGCTCATTATAAAATCACATGAATTAATTAGCAGTTCAGATGTGAACGGGTGTTGTACAGAAGTTTGCTCCCAGGCAGAATCTGACCTTCATTGGGGCTCATGGTAAAATAAGAAACTTAAAACAAAGAATCTATGTTCATTTTTTTCTGAAACGGTTTTATTGGTTGATAAGCTGGTGATGGTAAAATTATATTTAGTGTTTGTTTCTGTTAAGAAGAAAAGGATGCAGACAGGATTTTACAGCTTGTTTTTTCAGTTTAAGGCAATATAAACACAAAATGTTTGCCTTAAACGTGTCAGAAATTTAGCATCACGAGACCAAAACTTGATCTTCTCTGTTTCGTCTCTGGGTGCAAAACTCAACAAAGTTTTCTAAAAATGTGTTCATAAATGTGGTTTGAGGGCAGAAATATGTTTCAGGCTCCATCAGCTCAGCCATCATGAACAGCTGAGTTTAAACGGACGCATGATGAAGAACACAGTCCTGCAGATTTTAACTACCTTGTTACATCCATTCATTTCTAAGGGTTCTCTTACTAGAGCACAACTTTCTCCTCCTCTGCTTGTTTACAGGCCTGCTGTCTCGCATGCTGCACACCTGGAAGCACTTCCTCCTCATCAGGGGACTGAATAAAAGCTTCAGTGATGCAGCGCCACGCCCCTTGTTCCTTGAGCATTTCCACATTCTGAGCATTGTAGTGTGGTTGACTCTGAGTTGAACTGTGTGCAAAGAGTTTTAGCAACTCTGAGTTGATCTTTAACTTCTGTTAACAGTTCTGTTGAAGATCTTTTGTTTAGATGGGAAGTTTGGGAGGGGTTCTCCGCCATTTTATTTCAACTAACTTTTCTCCTGTTTTGTGGACTGAGAGCTTAAGGAGTTGTAGTTTTTGTTTTGTTAGATAAGAGGTGATTTTGGTTTTCTTGCCAGAAGGAGCATTATGAAGTCCATGGCTTCCCCTTCTGTCTGTAATGCCCAAAACTCTTAATGACTAAATTGTTGTAATGCCAAATTGGGCTGTTTTGTAGTCATTAGCTTTGTTTAGTTCACATTTTTGTGTTGCACCATGTACTTCCTAGACTCATGCTAAGAGCTGTAACAAACAAAGCAAATGAAATTCTTCCGAGTTGGATTTAAACAACTGCAAACTGTCAGGTGTAAAGTGTCTAAGCAGAAAACATTGATTTGAATGAGACTGGTTTAGTTTTAATTGAATAGGAAACAGTCGGTGACGGGGAAAACCTGAAGATTCACATCGAGAGCCTCCACCTCTTCATCACCATCATCCGCTCTTTAAAGGTTGAGCCTTAGCGCTAAACGGGGATGTCAAACAGAAAATTAGGTTTCGAATCATGACTTTTGAACCTGAGAATAAAATCCATGTTCAGTCGTCTGAAGGTCTGCATGAAACGAGCCACCGTGGTGTCAAAACGACGGTTTATTATGTGGTTGCTACAGGAAGTGTTAGTGAGCAGGTGTGCAGCATCAGAGCTCCGTCAGCCCACAACGCCGCTCGTGTACATGTTTGTCTGCTTTACACAAACACACACGTGTGTGTGGGTGTGTGTGTATTGTTGTGTTTGTGGCCTGCTGGCTACGGCCATCTGTCCTCTGAAACGATCAGCCGTGTACAGTACAGAGTGTTTCCCCGCCAATAAACATAAGAGAATAAAGCCAGTTAGCTGACCTGGAAGAAACCCAACACACACACACACACACACCACAAGCTCAATTTGATCCGACACATCACTTATCGTGTTATGCGATAAGAAATGACAGACAGATGTAAAAGATGCAGCTGTCTTCCTGTGTGTGTGATCAACTAGAGCAGAAAGCCGCAGTTTATATTTTGTCGTCTTCGCATCGAGGGACGCGGGCCTGCGTTTGTCGTGCGGATTGACTCCACGTATCGTTTCGTCCAGTCAGGACCTGCCGGAGGAGACGCTCAAAGTGAAAAGTGCACATTTCTGTGGTGGTTTCACTCGTGTTTTCTGCACGCCGCCAACAAGTTTTATGCAGCGAAGAAGCAAACGACGCTGTGGCCTGATTGACCTAAAAGGCTCGTGTGAGTCAGCCATGAGCGCTAATGGGACGACGAAGACGAAAAGACATTTAGAAAGGTGGAAATGTCTAGAGCTCAAATGAAAGTCCCTCGATTGTCTGTGCTATTAAATTTCTTTTGAGGAGTTTGGCCTGAGCAGGCTGCCGTACTCGTGTTCTGGCTTTATGTTTCAACCATCACTCAGACAGGGTGAAATGCTGAAAGCTGCGTTTCCTGTTTGACTAAACAGTCAGCCGTGTGCAGGGACTGAGCAAAGATACAAAAATCCAAACTCTATATCGAGATTGAAAATAAATTTAAAGACACAGAAAAAGAAATTGTGACTTTTTTCAGAAATTTGACTTTTTTTGGGAATTGATTTCTTTTTTGAACTCGTCCAGCTGCTGCACATAACAACCCTGCAGACAGATGATGCACTTCTTAAAGCTCCAGGTCTTTCTCTTTGTCAAAAATCTTGTATCAATAACTTTATTTTTCATTTCTTTACTTCAACAAGAGCAGCTAGATAACTTGATTTACAAATACTTCATTTAAATGTTTTCTACATGAGCTAAAGGACGCAGATTCACTCGCTCCACTCTCATTTCCTGCTTGCTTTTCAACCGTCACAACCAAAGAGGTCTGAAAATAACTTTTTCTGACCCTGCAATCAACAAATATTAAAAATACAACTGCAAGTTGACCAAGTATCAGGACAAGAAGCAGATGTTCATTTTCAGGTCCCTCTATTATTGAAATCCATTAATTTCACACACTGATGCTTGTTTTAATTCTTTTTTACACTTTCAATCCTGTGTCTGATGTTTTGCTTAATTTGCAAAACACCTGTGTTGCACAAATAAGGCTCAACTAAATTAAACTAGCACACAAAAAAACGTGTTTTTAAATGAAGAAATGTGATTTTAAAATACTCCATGATAGTTAAAATCTGACTGAGATGAGTAATTTGTGCAAAGATTAAAAAAAAGGTTTTGGTTTGATTTGGACCTGGTCACCTGGCTATTGTAATGCAATCCAAAAAAAAATCAGCCATAAAAACCAGAAAAAAAATCTTTATTAAGAATTATTTCTCATATTGATGGTAAACATGTAAATAGGTGTTGAAAACTTCAAACTAACGTGTGTAAACAGCTGCAAACTACTGTTTGTTTACCTCTGAAAACAGCCGAAATGTCTGGGGGAAAAAGGCCAACAATGGAGACGTCCATTAAAGAGGCAGCTGACTTTTATTTCTGCTCACATTTGTTGACTAAATTATGTAGATAAAAGTGCTTTGCTTATCTTAAATGCAGACCTGCATTTTAGAATTGCACATCTGGAAAACAACTGGAGTAAACATTTGATATAGAGTTCATATTTTACAATAAAAAACCCAAATGGAGTTAATTTGAGTGATTTATTGAATAATGCAAAACACAAATGACTCGAACACACTCACACATTTAGTCCATCAGTGTGTGCGTGTGTGAACATACATTGGACTGTACACACACGCGTACGCACGCTGCTGCAGGGCTCTCAGCCTGAGCGCGCCCCCTAGCAGGAGCAGAGTGAATGACCGGAGGAGGAGGAGGAGGAGGAGGTGCTGAAGAAGGAGCCGCAGACTGACAGAACCTCAGCTGAGCCTGGTATGCAGGAGTGTGCGTGTACGAGTGCGCGTGTGAGGACTGAGTTCAAGCATGCTGCTCCTGCGCCTTCATGGACATTTCATGGCGGATTTAAATCCCATTAAACCAAAAACTTGACAGTTAAAAGACCAGTTCGCTCAGAGAGACGGAGCTGGTTGAAAATGGGACACAAACTGGTGCGTTCGGTCCGAATGGTCACGTGATCGGTTGCTGTTCTGGGAAACTCAAAAAAAAAAAAAAAAGTGGACCAGTGCGTTTCTGAAAACCCGACAAAGTTCACCCTAAAGGCTCCTCTGTGCCTCCAAGGCTGCAGCAGCGCGCGCGGATCATCCATCTGAAGTGGGCGACTGCAATTTGCACATAGGCCTCCGTGCGTAATTGCGCGCGCGGCTATAATTTACAGCCTCTTGGAGCAACTGTCTAATGTGCACCAAATCAGAGGAAAAAAAACTGCCTTCATTTGTTTTACTTTGTTTTGTTTCTGATGAGTTCAAACTGTTGCGGAGGAGAAACAAGCGATCCACTCAGCCGGATCCGTTTCTGGGTTCTGGAGGAGAACACGAGCATGACTGTTACGCGTTAAGGTTCGTGGCAGCTGAGGCCTAAACTGCACCCAAACTGTCTCATTTACCAAACTCCTCCAACTACCAAACTTCACGCACATGTGCGGTGTCATTTAAAACCTCTCCGCTGTCATGTGGATCATTCAGACATTTAAATCTGTGTGCGTGTTAAACAAACATGCTGCACGGTTTGTGTGACACGGACAAGTCAGAGTCCGACGTGCACGGTGGACTGCAGCTTTGTGCAAACAGGAAACTGTTTCTGAGCCTCCATGTTTCCCCGCACCCCATTCTCCCCGCATTTTCACCTTTGAGTCACGCAGAGCGCAAAGTGTGACCCATTTCATGAGGCGCAGGCCTGCCGGGCCAGCTTTTGGTAATCAGAGCTCAATTTGGGGTCACACGCATATGTGCGTGTGTGTGCGTGGAAGGAAGGGTCACACTGAGCTGCAGAGACAAACATCTAACCTGCTGCTTCTCACTAACTTCCACAAATGACCTCAAAACTGGAGGAGCTTCTCTTCATCCTCTCCTCCTCCTAAACTGTTCATCTCATCACTTCACAGTTTCTGTCCTAAAGTGGAGCTGCTCCTGTCAGGACATAAAGCAGAAAACTGAAGCCAGAGTGGAAAGAAAGAAAGAGAAAGAAAGAGAAAGAAAGAAGGAAAGAAAGAGAAAGAAAGAAGGAAAGAAAACAACGTTTTTAGGGAAAAAGTGCCAAAAATGTCCCCAGACCTAAAGTTGAAAAAGGTTTTTGTTCTTCAAAATTTATTCAAAAGATTAAGAGAAAACTCTCTAAATGTATTTTTTTTTCTTCATTAAACTCATTCCTGGAGTTATTTTACAAGCAGATATAAATATAAAGACATTTTGTCATTTTGTTTTAAATGTCTTCACTTACAGAGCACAGACGCGCCACGAGGGATTTTGCTTTTTGGCTCTCCGCGCGCGTTTTAAATAATCCAGAACCGTTCATAAATAATACAACCGGGGGGAAATGAGCTTTAACACCCCCACCCCCCACCCCCCAAACTAACTGAACGGAACACACCGGGAAACACGAGAGGGGCGCGGACAAGCTGAAACTGACGCGGCGCACCAAAAAAAAAAAAGGCGTTAATGAAAACTTTATGTGGAGTTTTTATTTATTTATTAATATTTAAAAATAGTTTACCAGAGTTTATTAGATTTTTTAATTAATAAATATGTATATATAATTTTAAATTATTCCTAAATTTGTGTCGCTGTTTACCCAAAATTTGAGGAAAATGCGAAAAATTGATTAAATATGTTGAAATTAGGTAAACAAAAAATATTTTTCGGCTGATTAAAAAGTGTCTTTGTGTTTTCTGGGCTCAGTTTGTACTTGAGCTCAGACCAGAACCGGGCCGGTGGAACGGACCGAGCCTGGGACCGAGCTGCCCCTCCAGCTGCAGACATTTCTTCAGGCTCCGGAGACTCCAGCAGCTTCTTCACTGATCAGATCAGAACTTCCAATCAATTCACTAATGTTATCAATAAATTAGGAGAAGAGGGGGAAGTGGCCCACGGGGGACAAACTTTCTGCTCCGTGTCAAAAAAATGTCAGATTTTACGCACAATTTCAATCAAAATCCACTCTGGTTCTCTGGATGTGAATGAAGGAGATGTGCGCTCGTGCGGGGTTACTCACGCGTTAATTCTCTCTGGGACAGGTGCTGCGGGTTCCCCTGCTTGCGTCGGGACATCGCCCTGGCATTTACACTGGCATCGCCCGGAGAGCTGCGCAGGAAGGGTCGGCTCTCCTCCTTCTCCTCCTCTCCTCCTGCTGCTGCTCTCCAACTGGACAGGCTGCTCCTAAAATGTGCCGGTCACCCCAAGCTGACCACTGAGCACCCCCCCCCAAGTGCGGCCCTGGAAGTGGCGGGTCCGCGGCGGGCTGCTGCGCTCTGCGGGAAGCGGCCGTCGCGCAGCGCGGGGCGCCGGGGCGCACGCTCGGAGCTCGGTGCCAAAGTGGCTGCGCGCCTCCCTTCGTGGAGGTGAGGGAGGGGGAGAGTCCGGCTCTTCTTTCCGCTGCCTTCACACCATCCCTCAGAGGAGCTCGAGGAAAAGGAGGCGAGGGGGAGGGACGGACGCGCGTCTTGGTGGTCAGTCTGTGCGAGTCTGTGTCCACTGTCCGGACTCCTGGACCCCGTCCGGTCCTGCAGAAACCAGGTGACTGCGCGTCAGTGGGCGCGTGGGAAATAAGGAATCCAGTCGTTCTCCTCCGCGCCGCGCGTGATGTCGCCAAGTGGTCGGTGCCGGCCTTTCAGACTTTAACTCTTGTAGTCAGAGCCAGTCAGAGCCCAGCACTGGTCTGAGGACGGTCTGTCACCCTCTCCTCTCTTTGTGCTGCCAGCGAGACTCGCATCCTTCGACGCGCACGCGCCTCCGAGCGGCTCTGAGCGGCTCTCTGAGCGGAGAAAACTCAAATTCAAGTGCGGACGTGACGTTCAGTGCGCGGTGAGAAGGGAGAGTGGAGACTGAAGAGCACTGGGGGCGACTAGTGGTAGCTTTCACACACACACACAAACACACACACACACACACACACACACACCACACACACGTTCACACCCGGGCATGTGGTGCGCGCGGCAGCAGCGGTCAGAGTCGCTCAAGTCATCTCCGCCTCGGAAAATCTCGTGGAGTGGAATTTGTTTCTGTTGAAGTGACCTGAGGCGCGTGCACACCCGCCCCACTAGCTGCCGGACACGGTGCGCGTGCGCGTTTGCAAGTTTTCTTCTTCTTTTTTTTTATTGCCGTTTTGAACGTTTCCGGCTTGTTGACGTGGGGTCAGAAATAAAACTATTTAATAAATCCTAATTCTAATTATTATTATTATTATTATTTTGAAATTACCTTTTTGTTGCGCGTGCGCAATAACGCAACAAAGATGCACTTTAAAAAATAATAATAATTTACACTCAATTATTTAAATGAAATTACACAAAATGTTTCCAGTCGTTTATGGCCCTGCCGCGCGCGCGCGCTTCACACGCGCTCACATTCAGGTCATTTATTGATGAAACCCGCGTGCACTGTTTTGACTCCGTGGCTTCTTCTGTCTGAGACAAACCTGACTCAGTTCAAGGTGTCAGGTTTGTGACCCGCTGATTTCAGATCAGACCTGCTGATTTCAGATCAGCTGATTTCAGATCAGACCTGTTGATTTCAGATCAGCTGAGGAGGAAAATCCAACATCGGATGAGTGACATTAAGAGAGGAGGTCATGTAATTTTGGTATTCTCGACTTCTTTTGGGATGATTTCGGAGATTAAAAGCTGCAGCATCTCCTTCCTCCCCGGCAGCTCCTGCTCTCCTCACACTCCTCCCTGCGGGGGGAGAAAAGAGGAGACAAACATTTAGCATCTGATGAGACCCCCACCCGAACATCCTGGGACTTTTGGATCGTTTGCTCTGATTTTAAATCAACAATTTCTCAGAATGACCAGAAATCTGCAGCTGGCATGCTCTGTGCAGAACGCGCGCGCGCGCGTGTGGAGCGTGAGATCCACAGGCCTGAAGTTCTTCTCGTTCCCACCTCACTATGAGAAGATCCTGCGGGCTGAAGTCAGCCTCTCTCTGATTTTCCTTTTTTCCAAATAAAATATGAATAACGATCAAATAATGATGGCTGTATTAATAAAACACATGCACGTGCACCACCTCGTCCCTCTGCCTGATTATTACAGATGAACTCGTGTTTATTCTGCAGGAGGAATGTCAGCGTTGTTCATCAGAACCTGCAGCCGTGGCTTTGTATCACAACAAGAGACAGGAAGCTTTATGCTTAAATAAAATAAAATTATGAGTGTCAAAAAATTATAAAGTAAACAAAATCCCCCTTTTTGCATATTAACATATAATGTGAAATATTTGGAAGCAAAATATCTTTATGGAAACATAAATTGTTCAACAATGCTGACCTTCATGGATGGAGAGGTCTGAAAGTTTTCATGTATGATTTAAGTTCAGATATGTTGCACAAAATATGCAGTTAAAAGCTCTTTGTTTACGTTAAGTGCATATCCACATTTCAAATCTGCATTTCTATATATAAACAGAAAACTACTGGAGTTAAACCGTATGCTTTGATATATATTTCAGGATAACCTTTTTATTGTTTGATAAAGAGAGCACCTTTCTGAAGCTCAGACAGAGAAAAGCTTCCCTTCACTGTCTGTTTTCAATCGCTCCATATTAATCCTTTAAACTACACATCTTTTTCTGGAGCTTTTTCCCCCCTTTCATCAGATGAAGCTGTAAAGTCTCCCCTCTCTCAGAATCAGGAAAGCTTTTGGAGTGAAGTGACACTCCGGGCCACCATCAGTATCCGGATGTGCTCCTTGTCCTTGCAGCCTGATTGGCTCATTAGTCAGAAAGGCGACAGGTGCATCATCCCACTTTCTTACTGGACGTTTTTCAGAGACGATTTCTCACTTAAAGGCCATCAGCGTGAGTTATGGCATCCTGCTTCCATCTTCCCTTCATTTGCATATATATATGCGCCTGTTTGTTTTATGTTAATGTTAAATAATCCTTTTCTTTTGCCCCCCTCCGCTTCCCCTCCATCGTATCTGCTGGGCGGTTAAATTTTAATTAGAGGGACGTGGAGGTGTCCTTTGGAGTTTTAAGATCACTTTGCCCACAACTGTTCACCACTAAACTGTTAATATTGATGTTTATGTGTCGGGATGCAGGCTGGCAGATTAAACTGAATGCAGGGAGGAACAAATGTGCACTTTAGGAGGATGTGAGCTGTGAGATGAATGCTTGATGTTTGCTTCACTCCTCTGACACTTTTTCAACCAATCAGAGGAATTTTTAATATTAAAGAGGGATGCTTCTCCATGAACGTGGGGTTTTATGTGCAAAGACTCTTTATTCGCATGAAGATGTATTTATTTATTTCCACTGTGGTGCTAAAAGCTGGCTTTTTAACTAAATTCCCTTGAAAGTGTATAATGGACAGAAATTCACCTATAATATCTTGGCTTTGCTTGGAGCCAGCTGAGGGTGGACTGGAGTTGAAGAACATTTCCAACTCTTCTAAAAGCTGGTGGCATCTTCTTAACAGCAGCCATCAAGTCTTAATGTCGGCTTCATCCATTAAAGAAGCGATTTGTTTTCTTCTGATGCTGTAATGAAACGCAGAGGTGGAGGGATGAGCTCTGAATGATGACCCTCTGAGCTCAGACCAGCAATGCAACACCACCCTCTGTTGGTTATCTGCTGCTACATTCAAACACAGAGCCACTCCGCCTTCCATCCGTTCTCTTCTCCAGAAAGGTTGAATAGTGATTATTGTGAAGGCTGGCTGATGCAGGTGTGGATAAATCAAAACTAATTATAAAAAAAAAAGTCTGTTTAGTTTGAAAATCAAGTGAAAACCAACAACACAGGACATGCAAGACAAATTTTGACTTTGTGGGGACATTTTTTGGCCCACTCTTCTTTGCAGCGTTGCTTCAGTTCGTTGAGGTTCGCAATCGCTCATTTAAGATCCCGCCTCAGGGATTCAGTCGGCTTGAAGTTTGGATTTTCATGGGCCTTTGCATCATCTCGACCTCGCCTTTTCTTTTTCAGCTGGTCTGTTGTAGCTCAGCTGTTTGGGATCATGGTCCTGTGGGACCAGTGCTGTACTTTACATTTTTGTATAAAACCGTATCAAAACAAAACATGTTCAAGTATTAAGTACAGAATTATACAATAATTCGCTGGACAAACAAATGTAACAAACAAGCGCTGCATACGATATATTGTTACAGAAGCATTTAAGTGCCATTTAAAGTATCAGTGACACATATGTCATGCGTCATTGGGCACTTTTATGTGGTTATACTGAAATTCTTAAGCTTTTCTAGTGGAAATACTCCGCATTCCAGCGTATGCACCACTGTGTTAGACAGTTTGGTACAAACTCCTGCAGCTGGACTCACATTTGACTCGAGGATCCTTTGGGACTTCCAAGATGTCCGATGAAGCCGCCAGCCCTCCACCACCATTTGGACATGTGATGAAGTTTTTGTGCCAATATGCTCCGTTTGGCTGTCTTCAAACATGCTGCAGTGCATTATGGTTAAATCTCTCTACTTGGGTTTCGTCTCTCCAAAAGACGTTGTTCCAGAAAGCTTACGATTTATTCATATCTAACTTTACAAACATTAAATTGTGCTGCCATCTTCTATTTGGAAAAAAAAAATCCTGAAAGTCTTCCCTTCAGGGGTGTCAAACTCGCTTACCGAAAGGAACTTAAAAATTTGGCATGGGCCACTTTCAGCTGATCCATTAACTCAAGTCATATACCTGATATTTTTTTCTTGGTTGCAGGTTCATGAACAAGAGTTTGACCTGTCTCAACGTTCTGTTGCTCCTTCCACATCAGAATCAATAATGATAAAATGATCCAGCCGTCTTTCTGGCTTCAACGTTAGCCAGCTGGCAGGACAAGTCTACACTAAATGATCAGTTGTTTTAAAGAAAAAATGAGAATATATAATATTTTACATTTAAAATATCATCTTGGGGGACCAGATTTGACCCGTTGCTTTTGAGTTTGACATATGTGCATGGTTCTGTCATGACCTTTTAACCTTTAACCTGCTAATTCTGGTTTGTCCAGATTAAGCACTTTGGTTCTGACTTGAGCATAAATTTGCAGGACGTCTACTCCTGAGACAATTATCAGCTGCCTTAAACATTTTCCATTTGTTACTAATGTTTTTACTGCATGATAATGAACTTCAAATAGTTTGAATGTGATGTCTAAATCTACCCAAACTGATCTCGTTCTCCAAGATGCTTGTGATTGTTTCTTTACGGTTTTGTCAAATAAATAATACGGATTTATTTTTTAACAAAGCAGCCATCGTGCAGCTTGTTATAAGAGGTTATGGATGAGTGTTAAGTGAATAAAAGGCTGCAGTGACAAATGTCTCAAGCCCTTAAAAACACATCAAAAGGTGAAATGACTCAAACTTTAAAAGAAAATGTTTATTTAGAGGAAGTTTGCAGAACCTTTATGAAGAAACATGCGTGCACTCGCACACACACCAGGACCTGCGTCCCTATTTATTCAGTTTTCAAAGTGAATTATTTTCAGAATCATTAATTCCACCACAAATAAAGCAGCAGCTGATGTACATGTTGGTGGATAAAGTTTTTCATATAATGATGCGGAGAGGAAACGAGCAAGAGAAATGTGTTGGGTATGTGGCGTCCTAATTAGCTCTGCTTTCGGTTAGAGAGGCCATTTAGTGCTTCGCTCTGAGTCGAAGAGTCACAATATTTAAATACAGAATTTTATTTGTTTTCAAGACCTGAGATTTGGGGATGAATTGGTTTATTGTGCACATCAAAACACACATCTTGCTGTTTGAGGCTAAATA